GCCGCCCACCGCGGCCGCCGCGCCCGGGGGGTCTCGGGCTGGGTGTCTAAACCGACGGGAGTCGTTCCAGAGGCGAACACCCACCCGCTACGAAGAGAAAACCGCACCCGCTACGGAGCGGGCTGGCAGTCGCCCGCCAGCCAAGTAAACGTGTGAGCCCCAGCTCCCGAACCTGAACCCCAGGAATGGGAGCAGAGCCAGGTGGGCTGCAGAGGGAGAAGCCGTCTGGTCTCGACTGCGTTGCCACTGGCCCGAGGATGCCGAGTGTGGAGAGCTGCTGATGTTCCTTTCAATGCCATTCAAAAAGTACTAGCAGGGAACCGTGGGGTTTCTGTGTTGGTGTTAGTCCTCGGAGACATCCAAAAATGTTCAGGAATCATGTAAAGCATTTCAAAGAGGCAATGGTGGTTTGTTTAAACTGGTGCTTTGGAAGAAATTCCTAGCCAGTTATTTTGAAAGACTATGTTAAATGTAGGTCATTGTAAGCCCCCATAATATAGATAACGTTGACTTCTCCCTGTGGTGTCTGTGAAGTCTGGAAAACTGACCAGACAATGACAAATAGTGTAAATAATTACTAACTGTAGCAACATGGCTTAGTTAGGATAATTCTCCTTCAGCTGCTAAACCTCGGGACACGAGATAAGAAGGAACTAATGAACATCCTGTTTCAATGAAGGCCACAAGATCAGAGGAGTGCCAGAAGAACTGGCCGCAGCCAAGTACCGAAACTAGGGGAAAGGTAAAAGCCATACAGGGAGATTGTGACCACCAGCTCCACTAGGGACCAAGAGACACTGACCCATAAGAGTAAACTTGGGCAGGCTTTTGTTAATCGTGTAAAGGGATAACCAGTCCATAGTTTGTGTACAGAGCTGAGCTAGTTTTGTGGAATATCACCCAGCTCCTGGCTTTGTGTAAATCTGTAATAAGGGCATTGACCCTCTGTGTGTTGGCCTGCATGTAGGGTAAAGATCCCACTTTTTGGGGCAACACCTACATGAATAATCTGCTCCAGTCTCATCATAGTCCTTCAGGATGAGCTACAGAGGGGCCCTGTGTCATGGCTCTGATCCCCCACTTCCTCATGGTGCAGACAGGACTGTGGGGGCATTCAGAGCTGTGTGGCTTTGAGGAGCCAAAGCTGAGGGATCAAGAGTGTAATCTGCTTGAGAGTGAAAGAGTTTCTAGGTGAGCACAGCTCCACTCTTACCTACAGCTTCTTTGGGATATGTGGATCGGGACTCCCAAACTTGTGTCAGAGAGGATGGGACCAGCTGAGCGTACCTGGGAGGTACGTGGTGGCTGACTGACTGCAAAGGAACGTTCTGACAGGGCTGTGGGGGGTGTGTTACCAGGGGTGGGACCAAAGAACAGCTATTAATGTTTATGTTTCTTATTTTTCTATAGCTGAACGAAGCACTTCTTCCTGGGCTTATCTGGATTAAGCCACCACCATCTTTCAGAGGCTCAGCACCTTCACTGTATTTTCTGCAGCAGGAACCTGGGGTCTACTGATACTAACAAAGGTATGCAAGCATAAAGGGCAAATACACGCCCTGACAATTGTAGCTTTTGTTTCTGGAACACGAGGTATTTACAGCTCAGATGAGCAATTTAAATTCTCCATTGTCAAAAAGGGCTTAAAATTCTGAGTAAGCTCAACCACTCCTCCTGTCTAAAACTCAACAACGTTTAATGTTAAAAATAACTGAAGAATTTTACCATTTAAATAGCTACTGAAGTTCCTACTCTTGTGCTTCCTTGCAATTACTTGAGAACCTCGTCATGTGGTTCTGAACTATACCTAACCCTCTGCCCAGATACTGTTGGTTGCAGGAACTGGGAAGTACAGCAGAAAAAATTGTTCCTCTACATGTGGCCGAGCAGCTATTGAGATGGGTGTTCTGATACTGATGGGTTTGGATTTTATATTGAAAATGGTTTAAGTACATGTGGCTTTCCCATGAAAAAAAAATATAAATAACTCCAGATTCCTAAAGAACTGACACTGACTCTGTATTTTTGCAAGGTCTGATCACAGCAGCAAACTTTCAGGTCTTCAAGAATGTG